ATCTTAAGAAGTAGGATATACTAAGTTGATTCGTTGTGTTAGAGTATTAGTGTAAAACATTAATTAACTTAGCTATTATTGTTAACATTTTATTATATACAGAGTGATTTATAATTATCTACGGAAAATTAAAACCTTTGTTTGTATTTTACATTTTATCGTTAATTTTTTATTTGGTGGGTATGAAGGATGCTTCATTGACAAACGCATATACGGTAACCATGGATAGAGGGAATTCTAAATAACTCATGTTTAATAGCTCTTAGTTATTTATAACCGAGAGAGTGTCATCAATTTTATCCGTTTCTATCCTTATATACCTTGGGAACAACAGCATATATTTGTTTTTGACGTTTGATACATTTATCATCCATATTTTATTAAATATACTGATATATAGAAAATCCAGGTCCTGGCTAAAAATTCACAAATTTTTCTACTTTCAAAAAGCATTTTTATAACTCGTTTCCATACTAAAAAAACAAAAAAACAAAAAAGTTCAATGATTTTGTTTTTATTTTTGAACAGAAGATTTCAAATTTTAAATTCAAATTCTTATTACTGAACATTTTTGAGGTAAAAAATAGAAGGGTTAAGGGTAAATTAATATAACTTAATATTACTCAGTTTTAAATTTCCAATATTACTTTCCAGTTGATACACGATGTTTGAAATTATTGTGATATTTTTTTCCTAAATACGGACCTGTAAAAACATTGTTTACTGAAATGAACTGTAGATTTTTAAAATGTACTTAGTATTTTAAATACAAATACCGAAGCACGACATAGATCATTTATGAAGTCACGACCTTGCAGTGTTGTCTAATATTCAGAATACTCGACAAATGTAGGAAGTTTTGAAATTTTAAGATTGTTTTTTTTTCGATTGTTAATAGGAATAATTTATTTTAAATGTATATAACTAATAGAACATATTAAATTCCTATATACATAATAAACATCTGAACAAAAATTCTGTAAACATATTGCAAATAAAATAATTTCAAAGTCATGCGTCACAATAATATGGGCGGCCTTTTCTCTTTTGACAACAACTACTGCTTTAGCTAATACCTCACCAGGTATTGAATTACGTCAAAAGAAAAATCAAAGATAGAAAACCTAACCTAAATATTTCTTCCGTCAACTATCATGACGTGGACTTATGGAACTTCCTGACATTGCTGTAAAGAGTTCAATTTTTTAGAAATTATATAATTGCAAAATAAACAGATTTATATCAGGTCGTTTTCATTAATAAAAAATGTATCTTTCAAAAGGAACAACAAACCACTCCTATCAAAATGATGACAAAAGATTGTTAAAACTTCAAACATCGATGGTAAGAGGTAATTCACTAAATTTAAAGTAAATAAAAGTTGCATTTTTTGACCTAAACTACAAAAACTTGCTATATTTTAAACTGTAACTTCGAAACGACACATCATATTGAAGATTTAATAGTAGAGACGCTGGTATTATAGCAAATCTTACGAAGAAAATTAAACTAGAAAAATTTGATCATTTTGGAAAACATTAGAATAGTCAATAAAAACCAACGTGTTATTCAAATTCTATGTAAAATACAATCAAAATAATCTCAAAGCCATGCATCACAATAATATGGGCGGCCTTTTCTCTTTTGACAACAACAACTCCTTTAGCCTCACCAGGTATTAACTTACGTCGAAAGAAAAAAGCAGAGATAGAAAATATTTTCAACACTACGTTTGATTCTGATTATCAAGGAGAGAGTAATTCTTGGATCAATTTCGTCCTTATTAGGACTCTTGAGCTAGAAATAGAATCTCTAATGGACTCTGATGGCCAATCGAAATTTAGTCGAACACATTAACAGCGGGTTGAGCATGTGTACATATTCAACGAGCGAAAATGATGGTATTGCTATCCGTACTTAGTAAGCAAAATTAAAGGTTGCTGTATTACCTAGTTCAGAGACTTGGTGGAATAAAAGCCAGGCGGGCTATTATTAAAAAAAGAAAATAATACCAAATTATAAAATATAATCAAAATAATTTTAAATCCATGCGTCACAATAATATTAGCGGCCGTTTCTCTTTTGACAGGGACACCCTCCAGTTCTTTGTTAAAAAAAGAAAATAATACCAAATTATAAAATATAATCAAAATAATTTTAAATCCATGCGTCACAATAATATTAGCGTCCGTTTCTCTTTTGACAGGGACACCCTCCAGTTCTTTGTTAGTCTATATGTACATTCAGAGACCAGGGTGATGTCAATAAAGGACTTACTGTCTCTCCTGACAAAGGTTGGGGTTAGTCCGTCGTTCAGGGCAATGATCTTTAGGACTGCCATCCAGTTTTCTATATAGGTGTCTTTGTCTTCTGTGGCGTTGAGCACTTAGGTCACTTAGGATCATAAAGTTATTGTTGTTTTTGTCTCTCGTATCTTCCATTATTTCGTCAATATTATCTTCATATTCCCTTTTGGGAATGTTCAGAGAGATGTAGCAGTTGTAGATATTTGTACCGTTAACGTTGAGTATAATGTATCCAGATTCACAGTGGTGTTTCCATATACCCACCTTTTTATTTTTTTATCAAGGTCGTGACTTCTTTTCTGGAGTCAGTAGTGAGTCCCAGTTTCTCGGTGAGCTTCTTGTTTGGCTCCTACAGAAGCACTATATTAATATAGGGCCATTGGCACGTTATGTGCTCTTGGAAACTTGATATGCATGGTATGGTTAGTGCGGAAGTAGTGTAGTCCGATTGTGAAAATAGGTGTTAGTGTAAAAAGATGTGCTTTAGTAATATTATTAATATGTACAGGTATGTTTTTGTATAGAGTGTAAGCGGTGAATCTTAAGCTTAGTTTATGGGTTACTATTTACAATAAAGAAGTAGAGAAAGAGAAAAGATAAACTATATATAGAAAAAGTTCTCTTACCGTTACTCTCTTGCTGTAGTGTCGTGTATCCTTTTGAATCTAGTTTTGTTTGTGGAAGGGGACGTGTCCCCCCATCAGTATCTAGGTTGGGAATTCGCCTTCCTTATTTCTTCCCGCAACGCTCACTGATATTTAGGGAATCTATTATTTGTATGTCGTTGTAAGTCCAGTAGAAGGGAACATGATTCTCACATGTCCTTATGAAGTGTCCTTGGTCTCTGCACTTACGGCATCTATCATTTCTGCTGGGACCTTTGCATTCCGAGGCTTTGTGGCCCTTGCCCCAGCATCTATAGTATTTCTCGAATATAATGCGTTCCCGGATCCTACAGCTCGTCCATCCAATTTTGACACCCTCTTTTTCCAGTATTCTTTGGACATGCCTTTCCTGAACTAGGGCTATCGCAGTCTGTCTGCCCCCCCATATACTCCCATATATTTTTAATCTCTACCTTCGTGCCTATTACTAGATCGTCCATGGCGTTGTTGATATCTTCTTCGGTGGTGATTGCATCTATGTCTTGAATATAAGGGGAACTCTATTGTCACCCGCCTTTTTGATGTTGCCCCCTTTGAGTTTTGTGGAGAGAATCGCCCATAGTTGCTTCAACTCCTCCTTATTTTTTAATGTGACTAAAAGGTCCCCGTTTCTCGTCTTCTGTAGGTCTTTTACTGGGTCACTTACGTCATCCGCACTGACCTTATTTCTCACCTTCTTTAGCAGTTCAGCGTAGGTCTTGCCCTTCGCCTGAATAATAAGGGCCTGTGTTTCGTGGTCCCTTTTTTTCCTCCTTTGAGTCCGTGTCCACCCCTCACTTGGGATCTGGCGTTTCCTGGTAGTGTCTGTTTCCAGGCGCACGTCTATATTGTATATTCTTACCTCTGAAGGCACATTTGGCGAATTTCCTAAATCTATCCGAAATGGTCTTCGAGTTTTGCAGGGAGGCTATCGTCCCTTTCTCAATTTTCTCCATATTCATGCCATCATTGATGTGTTCCTGTTTAGCTATGTTTATGTCAACTGGACCTTCTGTGGGATTGTACAGGACGATCGTGTCCACGTTGCTGGGTTTCCTTCGTGCACAGTCGTTGTAGTGAAGGCCTCTTCTGTCCACTTTCCGCTGCACAACTTGTCGATTGCTTTCCATTCCCCTTTAGCGCCCTTGTTTACTTCCTCCCTTGTCAGAGGGTTTTGTGGGTGTCTTATTTGGGTGCTGGCGTCTTTTTGCTCTGTTCTCTCTGGGCCCCTGAGACACTCAATGAGATGACTCATCTCAACGAACGCGTATTCCAATTCCTGTATACTTTCCTTGATTTCCCTCTTGGTGTTGACGTTTTTCCTACAAATTTACTTAGTTCTGCAGCTTTGCAAGATAGTCTGTTAATGACTTCTTCTTTTGGAGTCGGCGTGCCAAACTTCTTCCTCTTGACCTCTTGGGTCTTACCGGGAACTTGGTTCTCTTTCTTTTCTTCTTCCATCATCTTACCGTATATTATATCTATAACAAATTGTTCTTCATTGGACGATGGCCTTTCTCTTTTTCGGTTCTCCTCTTTTTGGTCCTTGTCTTTATCAGTATTTTTATTGTTTGTTGTTATTTCCTTGTTCTCCACTTCTCCTACCAGGTCGAACATAGGGCTGTTGAAGATATTATCGTCAATAAATCTTGCAGAGTGTCCCGTGGGGTTGTTGGCGACCCCATGTCAACCTTGATGTTCTGCCTCTCCAGTCTGATTTTCAAGTTACAGTTTGGTAGAGGGTGGGGTTCCTTTTACCCTCAGAGTCCTTCCCCTCTTTCTCCTTTCCTCTATGATAGCCTCTTCTTCCACCATGTTCCTGTTTTTTTTTCTATTTCTTCTTCTGTCTTGTTATTACTTATGGGACATGCCCTTGCTTCAAGCTCCGCCGCGCTTGTGTTTTTCAAGTCTTTGTCTATTTGTACTTTCTTCCATGCTTTTTCATTTTTTAGTTTAGTGTCGGTGTTTGTGTTTAAGTTCGTTTTTTCCATGTTGATACTTCGAGTCGGGCAGAAATACTTGTAAGGCAGTGTGGTGCTCTCTTGGAGTGCTAAGGCATTCCTTCGGTATTATCTCCGGCTACCCCGCACGCCCTTGCCATGGCGCCAAGTGGCTGTTCTCGTCTCTCTTCGGGAAGCCATCCATCCCTCACCCCAGTTCCCAGGTTTAGATTCGGTTTTTGGTTCGTCGTCGGGGATTTCCTTTTACAATTTGATTAGATTTGAGTTTTGAATTAGTTTCTTTTTTAAGAATAGCCCGCTTGGCTTTACAAATGCTGAACCCTCTGTTAATGTGTTTGATTGAATTTCGATTGGCCATCAGAGTCCATTAGAGACTGAAATCGAGATTCTTGCTGAAGAGTACTAATAAGTACGAAACCGGTCCAATAATGACTTTCTCCTTAGTAAGCAAAATAAAACTAGAGTGTTGAAAATATGTTCTATCTCTGCTTTTTTCTTCGACGTAATTCAATACCTGGTGAGGTATTAGCTAAAGGAGTAGCTGCTGTCAAAAGAGAAAAAGCTGCCCGTATTATGGTGATACATGGCTTTGAGATTATTTTGATTGTATTTTACATAGAATGTGAAAAACACGTTGATTTTTATTTTCCATTCTAATGTTTTCGAAAATCATCAAATTTTTCTAGTTTAATTTTCTTCGTAAGATTTGCTATATTACCAGCGTCTCTACTAGTAAATCTTCAATATGATGTGCCGTTTCGAAGTTACAGTTTAAAATATAGCAAGGCTTTGTAGTTTAAGTCAGGAAATACTTCTTGCTATCGATGTTTGTAGTTTTAACACTCTTTTGTCATCATTTTTATGGGAGTGGTTTGTTGTTCCATTTGAAAGATACATTTTTTATTAATGAAAACGCCCTATATAAATCTGTCTATTTTGCAATTCTATAATTTCTAAAAAATACAGCAATGTCAGGAAGTTCCATAAGTTCGCGTCTTGATTTTTGACCGGAGAACTATTTAGGTTTAGGGCTGCTGTAACATGTTAAAACAAGAAAAAAACTAATTTCATAGTTCTATACATTTCTATATATTTTAGTTTACTTCTCATACACTTACAGCAGTAATAGTGGTCCGTCATTATCACGCTCCCATTCAAAATACTGCATTAACGAAGCTATAATCTTCTTACAATAACTACTTAGTTTTTTGACATTTCGTATGTAAAAATAAATGTCAATAATCAGTTTTTACCTACATACTTTGATTTTCTTATACTATACGGAGAATGGTCGCACTGCGCAGCTTTCTGAGTGCCTTTTAAAAGGAGATAGAAAACTCCGCCATTTTGAACCCTTATTACGTGTTGCCTACATCTTGGCGCAATATTTTTAATAGGTGCGTTTTAATCATCCGCTTCTGCTTCGGAATTGTCGGTTTTCTTGTTTTAATCTGACAGGTTAAAACGACTAAACCGACAATTCCGGAAGCAGAAGCGGATGATTAAAACGCACCTGATATTTTGCTTGCTGCTGTCAGTGTCAGTGAATATTTATTTTGAAGTCACAGTTTACTGCTAAAGAATCAGTTAGCTCACTCGGACCAGTTGAAAGTTCCAAAATAACATCCACTCTAGGGATACAAATTCAGGATACGCAGAAGACTGCTGTTTTATTATAGGCGGTTGTCATATATTGTATTATCCGAGTTGCACAGTGTATAAACTGAAACATTGAGATCAAAAGTGCCGACGCAGAGTGAGCGATCTGATTCTTTAGCTGTAAACCGTGTCACAGGGTTCAAAATGGCCGCGCCCTATGTTGGGCGTGTCGGACCTCTCTCTTGCCTCGTATAGTAATCAAAGTAAAAACCACATACTTTGATTACTATACGGGGCAAGAGAGAGGTCCGACACGCCCAACATAGGGCGCGGCCATTTTGATTCCTATGACACAGTTTATAGCTAAAGAATCAGATCGCTCACTCTGCGTTGGTACTTTTGATCTCAATGTTCCAGTTTATACACTGCGGAACTCGGATAATACAATATATGACAACCGCCTATAATAAAACAGCAGTCTTCTGCGTATCCTGAATTTGTATCCCTGGAGTGGATATTATTTTGGAATTTTCAACTGGTCCGAGTGAGCTAACTGATTCTTTAGCATTAAACTGTGACTCAAAAAATAATATTCACTGACACTGACAGCAGCAAGCAAAATATCAGGTGCGTCTTAATCATCCGCTTCTGCTTCCGGAATTGTCGGTTTAGTCGTTTTAACCTGCCAGATTAAAACAAGAAAACCGACAATTAAACAACCGATAATTAAAACGCACCTATTAAAAATATTGCGCCAAGATGTAGGCAACACGTAATAAGGGTTCAAAATGGCGGAGTTTTCTATCTCCTTTTAAAAGGCACTCAGAAAGCTGCGCTGTGCGACCATTCTCCGTATAGTAAAAGCAAATCAAAATATGTGGTTTTTACACATTTTGTTTTAAAAATCAACTTGTAAACATAACCTAAAATCTAAATCAGTAAAATTCTTTAAAAATCTATGGGCCACACAGCAACAAGCACATACTTTGATTTTCTTTTACTATACGGAGAATGGTCGCACTGCGCAGCTTTCTGAGTGCCTTTTAAAAGGAGAGAAAACTCCGCCATTTTGAACCCTTATTACGTGTTGCCTACATCTTGGCGCAATATTTTTAACAGGTGCGTTTTAATCATCCGCTTCTGCTTCGGAATTGTCGGTTTTCTTGTTTTAATCTGACAGGTTAAAACGACTAAACCGACAATTCCGGAAGCAGAAGCGGATGATTAAAACGCACCTGATATTTTGCTTGCAGCTGTCAGTGTCAGTGTCAGTGAATTAGGCATTCCAACGACCTGTCAAACAATAGGTGCCAGTGGGAAATTCTTGTATATTTAAGGGGGTAGCGACATAGTCTTGCAACTTGGACGTTATTTTTATTCGAAGTAGTAGTCGCCAAGCCTGCCAATTTATGAAGAAATGTATAGGTGGGTTTTTTAAATATTATTTTTATTGTGTTTGACATAAAATATTTAAATGTAATCCATTATTCATGATTTTACGTAAAGTAGATAGAATACACCATATGTCGCCACCCTTAGATATACCAAACCTGCCCACTGGTAATTCATTTGTTTGGAATGCCTAATATTATTTTTGAAGTCACAGTTTATTGCTAAAGAATCAGTTAGCTCACTCGGACCAGTTGAAAGTTCCAAAATAACATCCACTTCAGGGATATAAATTCCGGATACGCAGAAGACTGCTGTTTTATTATAGGCGGTTGTCATATATTGTATTATCCGAGTTGCACAGTGTATAAACTGAAAGATTGAGATCAAAAGTGCCGACGCAGAGTGAGCGATCTGATTCTTTAGCTGTAAACTGTGTCACAGGGTTCAAAATGGCCGCGTCCTATGTTGGGCGTGTCGGACCTCTCTCTTACCTCGTATAGTAATCAAAGTATGTGGCAACAAGGTATACCAATTTCCGTAATGACATTTCGTCTTTATAAATAATTTCATGAGCGTACAGAATGTCAAAATTATTTAATGTGAAGTATGGTTTTTTGAGTACTAAACATGTAACAACGTTTTTATAAATTTTATATTATCAAGAATAAGACGTGTATTAGCTAAATAATTGAAGCAATTCTAAAATTATAAAAATAATCATCAATACATATGTTTGTATTTTAGTAATATGACTACATTCGTGAATTTTGTGAATATTTGCTTAACTAGGGACATTTTAGTTACTTGGTAGTACTATGAGGAAAAAATACCGTCACTGATGACGTGCAACGAAATTTGTATTAAAAATACTGTAGCAATGTTAAGTAATACTAATTTAACACAATAAAATTAGTATAAACCTGTACTATTCCATATTACGCCTCAAAAATGCTCATAAATAAGAAAACATCTTAAAGCATGAACAGCAAAAGTGTCTGTCCAAAAATAAAAAAAATATATATATTTTTTATTCATTTTAATAATAAAACAAATTATAAAACTTCAGATAAACAGGGTGCAGTTTTGAGGATGTACACATTTGTGAATTTTCCTTCAAGCCAGACCTGGATTATTCAACGTTTTCATGCATCAGTACATTTGACAAGGTATGGATGACAAGTGCATCAATCGTCAAAAAGATCTACATGATTGTTCCAAAGTTATTGACAAAATTAATAGTAGTACTCCAGAGGAGGTCGTGAACTTCACGGACTTTTCAAAACAACATTGAACACCGTGTATCTCGATTATAAACGGCCAAAGACACATTCAACAAAAGTGATTTAGAATTACCTACTGTTATCGTAGAAAATGCATTAAAATTATATGTATTTGAAGTTTCAAATTGGATTCTTTCTCGGATTGACATTTCTTGATAATAGAAGTAACACATTTACTACCTAGACATATAAAATCATTTTTATTGTCTAGGCATTTAAAATTATTTTTTCTGCCTAGACATTAAAAACTTATTTTTCTTCTTTTCTCTTTTGAAGTGTTGCTCTGGAGCCTCCGACAATGCGGCAGTAAATCTGTTACTTTTTTGTCCAATTAAACAAATAACCATTTTTATTACACTTCTTTATACAGGCTCATATTTGGAATAAACAAAAAAAAATTAAACAATTAAAGCTTTTTTCGATCACATTGTATATTTTGTATTAATCTGAAAGTAGTCCCGATAACATTTTTTTAGCGTTCTCTTCTTAAGATATTCAAGTTTTTCCTTAATTTATACAAAACCTGTATTTTTTAACACATACGATGTTGACTACAATATTATAATGGACTTTTTTTAATCTTTTTTTCAAATCACTTCAAATCTAGTCTTGAAAATTGTGATGTTGCTTTCAAAATTTACAATAAAATATATAAAATATATAGGGACCTGATTTATTTTACTTTACTGTGGGATCTTTTTGATAAAATACCATCAGTAAAATATAACTGAAAAGTTGATCTAAATGATAATGGATTCAAAATAATTAAACGAAACCTTTTTTTAGATTAATCTCTGTAATTAAAAGAATAATACTCGGTTGCAAGAATGTTTGTTAAATCTGTCAATAGCTAATGATTTTATAACTTTATCAGACTGTGCGTAATTTGATATATTAGATGCTTATGTCATTCAAACAAGTCAAGCTCCATCAAAGTAAATAAACCACTAATGTCAAAACAGTACCTGATTTCGGAAATCACCTAAAATTCGTATAATTTCGGTAATTTCGCCGAAATTATCCTTATTTTTTTACGATTATGGTAATTTCGCAGAAATTATTGTATACAATTTTCAATAATTTCTCTATAAATTATATTCTTGAATATTCAAATTACCTTTCTTTTGAAAGCTCTCCACCTAATATTTGATTGATTTTTTTATTCTTCCTTTGTTTTTTGATCCAAAATATGCTGCGTTTTATAATTTTGAGCAACAATTTGATATCGAAGTGATTTCGTGATGATTCTGACCATAATTTTCAATAACGATTTTGGAAATTTTGACAGAATTTAAAGTTATTTCGGGCGAAAACGTACCAGTGATTCCAACATTAGATATCCTATTTTTTATGCACTGTGCAGTGTGCACTTCTTTTTTGCATGAGCTCTGTATACTTATTACTAGCTTAGTTTGTGTTGTTAATAAAGAATGTTCCAAAACTATGCCAGTAGATGCATGCTTAGAATCCAAGTTTTTTGATTTTTTTTTTTTGGTATGACACAATCTCAGATATATTTATTTGAAAAAAAATTAACTATTTCGTGGCACACAACTTGCACTGTATTGTATAGTATAGTGTATTTTGTATTACTATGTATCAAGTAAAAACATTTTATCACATTATTCTTAATTTACCTGAAATGATTATATCTCTTTATGAAATCACATTTGTTTTTAAATAAAAAGTAGGTAAATGTTTTTAATTATAAATAAATTATTTTTAATTAGTTTTTTTTTACAATATACACATAAATCTGTTTTCCCAGCGATTCTACACAGTAAATTATTTAAATCACAACACTATACTGCGTAGAATATATTTATATTTTCTCTTGGAACAGATCTAAGGGTATGAACCAGCTAAAACTAAAAATACTGGGTGGAAAATGTTTGTTTAAACAAAAATTAAAACACGTTGATTTTTTATCCTTTTATCATTTTCCTTTCATCTACTTACCAATACAAATATAAAGGAATGTACCATTAGTGGCACAATATTGATACGGTAATTTTACGGAACATTCAGCAATATGAACATAAAAATCACTGATTTTGACCTTATACTCTAAAAATTTTATACTTACTTCATCTGCATATCTGCATCTATATCTCCATATTAGAGAAAAATTAACCTTTATCGTAATGTTAAAGGAAGCAAAAGAGGTTAACGGCTGTGCACACGTAGCTTAAATCAGCAAAGAAAATTAGTATTTTATGCAAAAATTAATTTATTTAAAATATACAAAGCGCTTTCAGCATTACGCCATCTTCAGTGCTTATTTGCTCTCAAAAAGACATTTTTATTTCAAACATTTTATTCAATATTCAAATATTTTTACAAACAAAAAGACTTCCAATAAAATTAATCGTCATCTTGTATCCAATTAATAAATGTTGGAGTATCACATCTTGCTAAATAGTTATTATTATTGGTTTGTTTCTTAAAATTAACGGTTTTTTTCCAAATTATATGAGTTAATATGTATTTAAGACATTTTTCCCTTTTTGGAATAGCCAAGAAAATAATAATTACTATTTACCAAGGTGATATAACTATAAACCATATAAAGTTCCTAAACACTGATCTAATTTAGAGAAATTATTGGACTTCTTACCGGACATTGCCGTCTAATATGTGCGTAGATTTTATTTGTTGCCTATTGAAGTTTTCTGGTCGATACTTCTATGGTTTTACCAATGGCATTTTTCATTAGCAATGTATGCTCTTTTAACTCTGTTTTCTAAATGCAAGTTCCATGTTAACTTGCTGTCAAAGTGTGATCTAGGTACTTCACTCCTGTTGCAAAGTTTAGTTTTGTGAAGGTTTTAATTCCATTTTCATCTTTTTCCTTGTGAAAAGGACCATTTCTGTCTTCTTAGGATTGATAAACACTGTTCTATAATTTTTAGATCTACTTGCATTCTTTCGCAGAGTATGTTCTCAAAATTTCCTGTTTTCAAAATGACCAGGTCATTTGTGTATGCTATTGTGTAGTGACTATCATTATTGAGGCGGCTGAGTATCGAGGATCATATTCCACAGTAGAGGTAATAGCACCCCTACCTGTGGAGACATGCCCTCGCTACTAAGCCTCTTATATTCACATCTTTTACACTTATGTTTACTGCTTGCTTTGAGAGCATGTTATGTATCCACCCACTAACCATTTGTGGAACATTCCTGTTGGTTAGTGAGTGTATTATCTTTGGGAAGGTGGTTTTATCTAAAGCACCTTTTGTGTCTATTAAAACACCCAAGGTCTTATTATCCAGGAATCTTTCTATCCGGCCAGCAACTAGATGAAGGGCTGAATCAGTAGATCTGCCTGGAGTGTATGCATGTTGGTTTGGGTGTAGTGGTGTTGTTGTAATCATCGCATACCTTATGTACCTTTCGCATAGCCTTTTCAATGTCTTCATGGAAAACGATGTCAGACTAATTGGTCGGTATGTTTTTGGAATAGTGTAATCTATTCTTCCAGGTTTGGGTATAAATACCACTTTTACCTCTCTCCAAAGCATTGTTATTGTTTGGTGTTTCGGCCTCCATCTTTCTCAAAGCCTCTTGGAGAAGGTATGCATAGATTGCCCTTTCCGTCTTCCTAGGGTTCCGACATAGCGTGGAGGTCGACAACATCAAGTTTATTTTGAAAATTAACCAGCGGTGGTCTGACATCGAAATGTTATCATACACTTGCTAGTTTATAATTGATTTATAGATACCAGTTGTGGATAAAGTGTTTAAAAATATTGGTGTAGTACCTTTATTTAAAATACAAAGATTTTTGGTAATTATATAATCATAAAGTGACTTACCTCTAGCGTTGTTATCCTTACTGCCCCAACTGAAGTGATGAGCGTTTGAGTCGCAACCTAATACCAGCTCAAACTTCTGTTCCAGGCATTATGCAATTAGATCCTCCATTTCATTACTGGGTGGTGGCCTGGTTGCATCGGAAGAAAGGTATGCAGATGCCAGGATTAACGTTTTCTTTTCCTTTTTGAAGGCGTATTCCATCCACACTTAAATCGGAGGTGGAAAGGTGCGCCATTAAGTGAATTTTCTATTTCCTGTGTATGTAAATGGCTTTCCTAGGTTGTTGGTTGCTGGAAAAGCTAAAAATTGAACACTTATATTTTTAAGACCTAAAATTTTGGTTTTTATTATCCATGGTTCCTGGATGAGTGCTATTGTATCTTGCAGCTCATCAAGGCGACAGCATAATGTTGGCGTAGCCACCCTTTTGTGCTGTAAGTTACATTGTATGATAGTTACCTCTTTTATTGCTTCTCGGTCTTTCGTTAAAAGTTGAACAGCAGGGTGGTTTTCTTTATTCGACCATCACTTTCTCCGAAAATAGCGAGGGGGTGATCTCTTGTGGCTCCTCGGAGTTTTATTGCTGGAGGTAATCGATTGCCATTTTTTCTGGCTCGACGTCCTTTACTGTTGGCTTACATTGGGGGGAGAAGAGGGTTCTTAGGAGTCTTCACTGGGTCCCACTTTCTCTTTTTCGATCTTTGGCCTTATAGTCAATGAGGTGAACGCATAGCTCATCCTCATTAATTTGGCATGGCAACCCTAACTATGTCTTCGTTTCCGATGCCGAAGGCGAAGAGATAGCCCTTGGGGTCTTTTTTATTTCATGGTGGAAGGTGCACCATTTCGCCACAAGTAAGTTTGGGTTTTGCCTCTCAAGTCGCCTGAACACAACCTACTTCTCGTCAAGGTCAGCTTGCGCTTCCCCTGAGATCCAGAGAGAGGCTTTGATGAGCTTGGGGAGCTCGTCCATCCTTACAACAGCGAGTGCTGCTCCTTCCCATGTTTTTAAGGTTGGTACCTTGGTTTTTAGCCATTCCAACATCAGGTCATCATCGCACATTTCTCTGATGATTTTACCAGAGTACGTCCAAGACCTGAAGGTGGGTGGCTTGGTTTTGATGAAGGATGCGAACAAAATGGTTCTGTCCAGCTCTTCCATCAATGTATTTTTGACAAGAATTTATTTTTCGGTAGTTATCTTACCGTAAGGGTTATCCTTGTCTATTATAGCTACTTTCAGGTGGCTCGTAGCTGCATCCTGGTAGCTTATCCCAGACAGAACTTTGTGTTCCTGTCTGGGTTTTTTCCCTTCCGGGGCGTTACCTCGGAAGAGGTGTGACATCACGGCCCTTTCTTGTCCCTAGTTACGTCGAGTTCCTGCCTAAGGACTTGATTAAGCCGCTTTTGTTTATTTTGGAGTAAGGGAGTTTGTTGGGGGTGGCGGTTGTCGTAGCAGTGCCTGCTTGCAGCTTATCCCTCTTTCTCCTCTTTGCTTCGGACCCAGAGATTCTCTGGCCTCTCCGGGGCCTCTTTGACACTGTTTGCATTGGGGAATCAATTTTGGGCCCATCACTGGCCCAATTTAGATTAATAGCTTTTGCAAAGTCTTTATTTGGTAAATTCTTTTAACGTATATTTTCAAATGTTAACATGAATAGCGGCAATGGCTTTTTTATAGCAGTTCTTATGATTTGATTTCCTCTATTTTTTTCTTTAGTTTCTCTCTGTTGGATATTATAACCACATCAAAAATTTCATGTTTGCGTCCCGAGCCGTAGGCAAGTGGCGCAAGTCACCCGAGAGAAAAATGGCCATAAATTGCGAGTGTAATACTATACTTTGTCCACGACCATTATTATTTCTTTATTAAATAAAAGTTAAGTGTAGAACATAGGTAACTAACTGTTGTTGTTTAACAAAGGAATGCTTAAAATTTAAAATTACTAAATTTTAGGACAGGAATACGTCAAAGTCACATAATCCGCGACATCTCTAGAGATAGGCCATACTGTGTAAAGTATCGATTCACCGTATCGATATAATATTTAAAATCAATATTAAGTGCACTTAATAATTCTACATATGACTAAAATATATATAAAAAATGCATGTGATAAATCTAAAATGCACTCTAGAAAATATCGTTATGAGAAGTATCGCCCATCTCTAGTCATCTACCTGAATGTGCCAGAATTACAAAAGCGTGAATTATCATATATCACTCTAGTGATATATGGGTAAGATATGCTCTTAGTCAGGAGCTAGAATATTGATTTATTATTTAATCGCATTTTTTAATTAATCGATTATTTTCGATTAACCAAATACTATCGATTAATCGATTATTTTCGATTTTTAAAGGTATTCGAATAATTTGTTTTAAAGAAAATACGAAAAAAAATAGATTATATAAAAATAATCGACTAATCGAATACAATCGGTTATTTTATGTAACCGATTTTTAATTATTTTTTTAAAATGACCGATTTATCGGTTGATCAGCTATTTAATAATCGATTGTTTTCGATTTATCGATTATTTTCGAATTTTCAAAGATAATCGAATAATCAATTTTAAAGGAATTATATAAAAAAAGGATAAATTGAAAATAATAGATAATTCGTTTATTTATTTATTTATTTTTTTTGGAAAATCGATTTATCGTAGAATCGGCTTCTTAATTAATTGAGTATTTTCGATTAATCGATTATTTTTGATTAATCGGTTATTTTCAATTCAGCGATTATTTTCGAATAATCGATTATTTTCATTTTCAATATTTCAAATATTTCGAATACGATAAAAATAGATTATTTGATAATAATCGATTGATCGAAAATAATCGAATATTTATAATAATCGAGTATTCTTTTTTTTTTTGGAAAATCGATTTATCAGTTATTCGACTTCTTAATTAATCGATTATTTTTGATTAATTGATTAGTTTTGATTTTTTAAAGATTATCAAATAATCTGCTTCAATGGACATACGAAAAAAAAATAGATTATTTGAAAATAATCAATTATTTAAAATAAACGATAATTTGTTTATTATTTCTATGTAGTTTGATGTTTTTTGTTATATTATCCAAGTTTGGATATTAACTTCGTTTTTCATGATTAACATAGATATAGGTAACACATTATACATTATTTACGACAAATTTTCAGTTTTTATATCTATTTTTTAAAATAGTGTGATCGTAGAAAAAATCTAGTGTGCATTTTGAGCGAAAAGTTTGTTGTCGCATACAAACTGCTGAATTGCCAATTGAATAACAGTTTCTATAATGCGCCATTCATGTTATATTCCGATGTTGGTTAGAGACGTAGAGAACTTAAAAATTACTTATGATAATTGTGTTTAGGTATGGTATAAATATGTCCCTTGGGATAAAAGTTTATTTAAGATATCATTTCGGTAGGCGCGTCAGGAGACAGGAGACCACCGAGACGATCCCAAGGACTCCAGGTGCATAAATGTTACGCTCCGTACACTTGCAGGATAACCATTTGAAGGAACGATCAATGTTGCCAGATCTACTGTTTTTACGTAGATCCACTGTTTTTGTATCTAGCAAATTTTGTTCTTTATTTATTAAGTTTGCCTCGTTCTTCAGCAAATGGTTAAAGAATATTTTCTCTAGTAAATTTTCTGCAGTAAAAGCAGCGTAATAAGGCATCCACTACTGTAGGTTGGCTCCATAAAAAAAAAAACATCAAGATAATCATTGTTTTTATTTAAAATGAAACAAAGAATTAATAGGGCATCATAAAAAGAACATGCATATGCCAAACATTACGATTTTGAATTACCTGATTTAGACTGATCTAAAAGAAGTAGGTACCTATTATTTTTCATTGTTTTTTTGTTGTTTCCGTACATTAATTATATATTAAAAATGTTATTATTTGTTTTTATTCTTTGTTTACTTTCTAATTTGGGTAGAAAAAAAGTTTATTTTTCTTTTCTTATATACTTGTTTTTTTATTTACTACACTGCAAATTATAATTATTTCTCCCTGTATTAAAATCTACTGTTCAGATCTACGGTTGTTTTTTTACCCATACTGTTCCAAAATCTTGTAACACTGCCTAGATCAAAAGAAATTTCCAACCTTATGACCTCCAAATAGAAGCAATGCCTGAGGACAGTGACCTCGAGTGCGACACGCAGCAAACGCTTTGCCCCGAGACAGATTCAGAAGTGTCGTCAAGAAGTGTCGTCACTTCTCGTGTCGTGCCGTCCGAAATGTGTTTCATATAATTGTTTGTATTTTAGACGCGAAGAGATACTTCCCTGTCGCGTCGGCGGTCGTTTGTCGCGCCTACCGAAATGGTACCTTAAATGTTCAATAAATGTTTTATTTTAGCTGGTTCGCCCTATATTTCTTTTTAATTTTTTGTTCGTGTATTAAATAACAAAGCATTATTTGTTTTATTTTTGTTTTGTTTATTGTTTGTATGTTGTATTCTAAATAATTATAAATTGAGGCCTATTTAACAAGAAGCAAATTTCGTTTACTGGTTCGTACTAATTAAAAATACCGATTATTATTGTCTAATGGATAAATACATTTCTTAAAATATCTACTAGATGGGTATAGTCTCTATAATTTATGCATGTTTCGTCAATTCGTGTTAAGTCAGTAACCTTATCTAAAATTACGTGTTTCTTCACAATTAATTAGTCGACTGTAGTAAATTATTCTTGTTTTATCACCCAACACTTACATTTACAAAAATTGACTTTTTAATTACTGATGAACCTATATTTCATCCAGGCTTAGGACTGACAAAGAAAAAAATTTGACTTTTTAATTTTTTTACTGAAAAACTGCTACTTTTAATTTTGTTTAAATTGTTTTATAATTCTCACGGATTTGACATTATTTAACTTACAATTCGCTAACCATATAGTATAAAACAAATTAAAAAGCTTACATCACACTATGGAAATAATCTTATTTTAGTTTTTGTACTGAATAGGTACTGAAACGCTGAAATCTGTGCACTTAAAATAAATAGATTGCGATTAGCACTTTATTTCGTAGCTACATTAAACCCTTTTTACATAGTTACATAGAGTTATCATTGAATCACGGCGTTGGAATCCGCACCATTCAGTTTTATTTGTTAAAACATCGGAAGACGAAAAAAGGTTCGTCCTTTAATAAACACTTCCTTATCTAAATCCAAATCTACCCCAACCGATTGCATAGTCGCAATATTCTTGGTATATTATTAGTCCATGGTCTACGAATTATACGTAGGTACATTAAAATGTTAATTTATTTCTTGGAATGTACTGTACATTGTAATTATATTTAAAAACTAAATATTTCTTATATAATTCCGTTAATTTCGTTATTTCTTGATAATTTAAATTCTATTTTCTAAATTTGTTATTTTGCTTTATTGTTCCTTCTTCTACAGGAAGTTGCAGTTTTACAGATTCAGCTTATTCGAAGCTTTTAACATTTCCGACATACTTCTGAATATTACTGGAAACTATTCACAAATATGTGACCATCATATAGATGACAAAACATGTATTCTATACAGGGTGTCTGTAAAAGGTCTTTACAAAAACATACCACATATTCCTTAGACCAAAATAAGTCGATTTAAGTAAAATTACCTTAATACAAAATTGCTTCGTTTGGGCGCCAGAGGGCCTTGAAGTTACAATTTTTAAATCATTTTTCCCATATAAATTTAAAACGGCATATGCGATTTTGCGGAAATTTGGTATATTGGTGTAGAGTTTCATGTGGAAAAAAAATGGTATTAAAATTTTGTCCGATAATAATACATAGGCGTAGAACTTGGTTTTTTAAATAATTGCACCTTTGAAAATTCTACGCCAATGGAATAAAAGGAGTTTGAGTATGAAATTTAGATTGCGCAACTCATTTACTTTAAAAAAGGTACTCCTGATAAGACTCGATTACTCTCATGGTTTTGACGAAATTTGCATTTTAGTAATTTTAGAACATAAACAATAATTATTAAAATACAAACTTTGTCAAAACCATGAGAGTAAATCGAGTATTATCAAGGGTACTTTTTTGTATTAAATGAGTACCCAATCCAAATTTCATACCCAAACCCCTTTTTTGCCATTGGCGTAGAATTTTTAAAGGTGCAATTATTTA